CACTGAGAAAATGATGACTATTAATAGTGTCTTTTCTTCCCCTCCCCCAGTTATTTTCCTAACAAAAATAATTGAATTTCCGTAAGTTAAACTCACAAAAGACAAGACTTGACTCTATGTACAGACTTTCTCTCTAAATAAATTACAAACTCCTTGAGCATATTACAGGCCATACGCCCCGGGTATTAATAACCTTTGCACCCCACTCAAAGGGAAAAAGGGTGCCATGCTTAGGAGACGAGGCCTCTCTGACCTCTGGTGCGGCTGGACCTGCCCAAGGATGCTGCCCTGGATCTCCCTCCTCCCCCCAGGACTTCCCATCGGCCAGGACTCAGTCGCCTCCCCTCCCCCAGGGTCTGTGGCCCTGACCGCCCCTCCCCCCATGAGACGACCAGAGATGCTTTCCTGCTGGGCAATCGGCTGGGGTCGTCCGGCTGCTGCGTGCCCTTGGATAAGTCCCTGGAACTCTGGCCTTGATGTCTCCGGTGGCCTGATGAGCAAGCTGTCCTCGCCTGGTCTGACAACACAGGATACTTCTGCCCGCTCCTCCAGCATCCATGCTCCTGCTCCCCTCACCCCCTTAAAGGGGATGTGTGCCCCTCCAGCCACAGCCAACACTCCCAGAGTGCTTGCACCAACAGTTTTCCTCCCTCTGCCCTTCTCTCTGGTACGGCAGTGATATGGGTGCTGCTCTGCCCCTCCAAACACAGTAGCAGTTACTAGTATATCTGATTCTGCACACGAAACAGTTGGGCACACAGTAGGTGCCCCATAGCTACCTGCTAGTTAACACAGAATGAGAGCCTTTGGGAAACAGTGGGCCCTCCTTACTCGGAGCCTCTGCACCCCTTAGACATCAGGAGCTGGGAGTGGGGGGGAGAAGGGATAGGCGTAGGGGAGAACCCTGCACTTTGATCTGCTGGAGTTTCAGTTCAGTTTGAGGATTACTTGAGCACCTACTTGTGTGAGTGGGCAGACTGGGCACTTCTCTAGGGCAGGACCTTGGCCTCAGGCATCTCAGTGCCCAGCACGGGGCCTGGCTCCCAGTGGACACTTGCTGGACTCTGGCTGCCTCTCCACTCCTCAGAGGGACAGCCATGCAGGCCTGGGGGCGGGGCACGGAGAAGGGAACCCACAGCTGTTGCTGCTTGAACCAGAGGCTCCCACCCGAGCGGGAGAAGCTGGAAGCCCCTGGATCAAAGGCTCAGGCCAGGAAGAGATGTCACCTGCCTTGCCCCAACTGGAAGCCCCTGGAGGGGATTCTGGAAAGGGAGCAGGGCTTGAAGAATGCCTCCACGAAGGGAGACGCGAGTCCAGTGTAGACCTGGCTTCTTAAAATGTGGGGCTGGGTTGCAACGTCTGGGTTCTAGTCCTGTCCTCTCCACCTTCCTCCCTGGCCAGAACCCAGAACTTGATGGTGGCTCAGTTTCCCCTCTCTCTGCAGCGGGCACAGCCTACTGTGTGCAGAACTGGGAAACTGAAGACTCCCGAGCCAGCAGCTTGACACCAGGTTACCACCATCCTGCCATCTGGGAGATCTACAGGCTACCTGGTGTCCCCACCCTGTTGCAGCCCATCTGCAGCCTGGACCACACTGGGGTCCCTGAGGAGGCCTGGCTTCTACTGCTGCCCCTCCTAGACTTGCCCAGGCCTGAGCCCGAGCCCCAGCCTGGGGAGCCAGTCCATTGGGCTGTAGCAGCAGCTGCTGGGGAAACACCCTGAGCCTGAGCCGTGTATAATCAGGCCACGTGAGCACCAGGCTTCCCTCCCATCCAGTCTCCACAGGGACGGCCCTTGGCTCTTCTCTGTGCAGCCTGGGTGGGGTGCCGTGCCTTTTGGCTAGGCGAGGGGTACATTTTAGGGTATATTTAAGTTCAAGCACACTTGGATGTTGCATCACAAAAGGTTGGAAGCCCCAAAAGTTGAAGGATCACAGGCTGTTCCTTCAAAGGATGTTGTAACCAGAGATCTTTGGACCCAGAAGTTTCCATCAGTGGGTGTTGAACTTGTAGTTTTAGAACTGCAGGTACAGAAGGGGACCTGAGGTTGCCAGCCAGCCCCTATTCCAATCACAAGACCTTTCACATTGCACTGCAAGGGTTTTTGTTGTTGTTAATCCTCACCTAAGGATATTTTCCACTGATTTTTAGAGAGAGTGGAAGGGAGGGAGAGAGGCAGAGAAACATCGATGTGAGAGAGACACATAGATTGGTTGCCTCCCGCACATGCCCTGACCAAGGCTGGGGATCAGCTTGCAACTACAGTATGTGCCCTTGACCGGAATCAAACCCTGGGCCCTGCAGTCCCTGGGCCAATGCTCTATCCCCTGAGCCAAACTAGCGAGGGCTGCAAGGGTGTGTTGACCTTGCTGGGTCTCCTCTCCAGGAACCTGAGTCCTGTCTGGCTCATGCTGAAGCCTCCGCAATGTGCTCAAAAAACACAGCTGACTCGAATCACAGATGAAGATTCTGCATCAATGGACACTTATTTCCAGTCCAACAGACAGCAAGAACTGAACTTAAGGGTGTGCATGGAGCCAGCCGGCTGGGCTTGGCCTCTCACTAGCTGGGTGCCCTTGGGTGAGGTGGCTTACCTCTCCGAGCCTCAGTGTCCTCGGTAAAGTGGGACTTACAACAGCAGCTACCTGCTGAGGAGTGGAAGAGTTAATATGTAAAGTGCTTAGGACTGTGCCTGGCCCTGTTTCTCATTCAGCCTGCAAAGC